TAAACCGTTGAAGGTTAGCATTCTAGAATTCACTTGTGTGAAAAAAAGCCGCCCTATAGGTATACAGGGTTCTTTTTCTTTCCTCTGTTTGTAGACAGCTCTAGTCTGAACAAATCTCTTTTTTTTTTTCTCTTCTCGAAGTGACCGTGCTATGAAGCTTGAGACAGAGTGAGAAAGAGCGACGAAGGATAGAGTATATAGGGGGAGAATCGGATTCGCCAAAGGCGTGCGGACCTTTTCACGCGTGAGTCACGTTTCATAAAAGCGATTGGGATTGATGAGAAAATAGCCCCCATAGAAAGATATCACGCTGCCAATGCTGGCTCGAATGAATTTGTCTGCACGACTACAGACGTTCGTTACACGCTGCTTCTGCTGCTGCTGGCACCCCTGCGTGTGCGCACGACGCGCCCAGAGAAGTGTTTCTCGCTGGTAGAGAGAGAGAGAGAGAGCGCGAGAGAGAGAGAGAGAGAGAGAGAGAGAATCCGGGGCACTCTGGGTAATTCAGTTGTCCTTAGGAAATGTTTGTCGATGAGTATGGTCGGATAGGCGGATTTTGATTGTTTTTATTCGTTGATGAATAAATGTGCTTCCTGTTAGAGAATTGGAAGGAGCGAGAATGATACTTAAGCTAATAGAGTAACATTTTTAGAATGATAAGAAAAATTTGAGAATGAAGCATGATGTGTCATGTTTCACATGGTTCTTGTTTGTAATGTAAAATCTTCTTTTTTTTTGTAATGGAAGTGGTACAGTATTTTTGTTCGAGATATTAATCAATAATAATTTGAAAAAATTTTCGCTCTTAAACGTGCCTGAAAGATTTTATTTGTTGAAAAAGAAATTTAAAGGGGGATGAAATGCTGAGAGGTCGAAGCGTTCATCATGTTGGCACGCCTGCACGGAGAAACGCTCGCTCCGACGGGATGCGTAAGTATAGGTGGTTGAGACAACACCAGAGAAGTTCAGCACTCATTTGAAAATTTCCAATCTCCGCAAGCGCTAATGATTGTTAACTGACTGGAAACCGATCAAAAGAATTGAAGCAGACTATTTGTTGCAATATAACGGATGATGGTTTGTTACGTATGATACTTGGAGAAATGAGATTTATAAAGTACATGTAAACACTGATAGGATTAAGTATCAGTCAATATTTAGAGATATGTTATAAGCTGTTAGTATGAAACTAACAGCACTAACGAAGTAGTATAACAAATTACATGATAGGTTTATTTATGCATACATTTTTGTTTTTTAATTTTAAAAAGTAAATTTTGAGAGTAGATGGAAAAACTGAAGAAAATATATTTAGGATCGAAAATTGAAATAAAATAAATGATGGAGAAAAATCAGTTTAGTTACATTAATTTTAAATAATTTAAATCACCTCCACTTATTTTTTCCACGTTTCGAGTTTTTCTACATATTCTCAAAGACGGTCCGTTGAAACCGGAAGCAGGCCTGGTTTATAAGTGGTTCATCAGATGCGGGAAGAGTAAAAAGTAGACACAGGGTACCCTTCTCGAGAGAAAATGAACAGTTTTCTTTTTTTTCCGTTCTTTTTTCTTTTCCTTTTTTATTTAAAGTACAAGAAAGAATTTAGAAGGCAGGGAGGGGTTTATGAAATTAAAAGACAGAACTAATGGAGCGATATATAACTAAAGGGACACATATAAAACCAGCTTCGAATGCAAAATACAGTTTTCAAGTTGTGTTTTCGCATATCATGCTGGTAACTATTCACTGCTGTCGCGCATGCGCATATGAGTTTACCATATCAAATGCAACTCAAACCTACAGTAAATTATAAAATTATAAAACTATTTTGCGTTTGATGTTGATTTTATGTGCGTCACTCGATATAAAACTGTAAAATAATCGATAGGGGAGGGAAGAGGTTCCCCGAATCAAGCTTGATAAAGTTTTACGATCTTTCTTCCTATAAATTGTAGGCCAGAAGAATATAGCAAAAGTGTATACGTAAGATTGTCGGCAGATAAAAAGCAATGAAACATGAGAAATTATGGTATCGAGATCACTTACAGACGTGACTCATCGCCATAAAGTCGCCAGATGACAACGATCGATTGGCAGTTTATCAGATTTATAATGACAACACGATAGCGTTGTAACTGTCTCTAGTTAATTTTACGACGACGTTATTTCCGATCTAGTGACTTCCTATTTAGTAACTTTATTCTTTGTATAAGGTAAAACTTTTATTCCCTTGAAGTTTATTCAATGCAGACTTGGGTTGAATACTCTCTATTCTCTACATTTCCTAAAATTCCTTTTCCTGAACTACGTTCTCACAATACATCGTCCACTCCCAAGGATACTCACCCCTCTACACGTATAAACGTACACTACGAATACCTGTGACGCATACACGCGGCATTTCCACAGAATACAATCACATTTTGATCGAGAATAATTCTAATTTTAAGAGTGGTTGCAGAAATGAAAACCTAAATTGCAATAAAAAAAAATCATTATTAACGTCGTATTAGATTTCACTCATAATTGTAA